TCTTCTGCACCAGCGGGCGCTATGCCCCCCCATGAGCAAGTGGGGGCAGTGGCCAGCTGCGCGCCGCCGCCCGCCCACTTAGTCGTAACATGCCCCTCGATCTTGAAAGATTTTTGTGTTTTCGGGATATGATGTGGTTCGGCCGGCACAGGTGTCGCCGCAGGGTCCTCTGCTCCAGCGGGTGCTATGCCTCCCCGCAAGCAAAAGGAGGCATCGGCCAGATGCGTGGCACCCCCCCCCCCCCAAACACTTAGTCGTTATATGTCCCCTAACCTTGAACCATTTTTGTGTTTTGGGGGATAGATGTGGCTCGGGCAGCACAGGTGTCGCCGCAGGGGCGCCTGCGCCAGCGGGTGCTATGCCCCCCGTAAGCGAGAGGGGGCAGCGGCCAGCTGCGCGGCGCCCCCCCCAACCACTTCGTCGTTATATGGCCCCTAACCTTGAACCATTTTTGCGTTTCGGGTCCGACGTTGCTCGGCCAGCACAGGTGTCGCAGCAGGGGCGTCTGCGCCAGCTGGCGCTATGCCCCCCGCGAGCAAGAGGGAGCAGCGGCCTGCTGCGCGGCGTCCCCCCAGCCACTTAGTCGTTATATGCCCCCATAACCTTGAACCATTTTTGCGTTTTGGGGTCTGATGTGGCTCGACAAGCGCAGGTGTCGCCGCAGGGGCGCCTGCGCAAGCGGGTGCTATGCCCCCCATAAACGCGAGGGGGCAGTGGCCAGCTGCGTGGCGCCGCCCAACCACTTAGTCGTTATACGTCCCCTAACCTTGAACCATTTTTGTGTTTGGGGTGTCAGATGTGGGTTGATCATGTTTGGTGTCACCGCAGGGGCGCCTGCGCCACCGCGTGCTGCGCCCCCCATACGCAGGAGGGGCCAGGGCCCAGCTGCGTTTCCCCCCAACCACTTAGTCATTAGATGCCCCCTAACATTGAAAAGTGTTTGTGTTCTGGGGGTTTGATGTGGTTTGACCAGCACTGGCGTCACTGCAGGGGCGCTTGCACCAGCGGGCGCTAGGCCCCCAGAAGGGGGCACTGCGCAGCTCGGGGGTGCCGCCCCGCCACATCGTCGTTTTATGTCCCCTAATACCAAATTATTTACGCTTCGCGTATCCCCATCAGCCCATCTCAAAACAGCAACTCTTGCGAAGCATGCCGACCGTCGTGTTTTTCAGGCGTGTTTCCGCCTGCCCCCGCATATCTCCCCTGTTCCTCCTTCCTCCCGCCTCCTTGCACATCCTCCTTGTGGTGGGAGCGGGAAAAGGACGAGGCGGAGGAGGAGGGGGAGAAAACGCTCCTCGTGGTTTGAGTCGTTTGGGGGTTCTTGTCCTGGTGTGAGTCGTTCGGGCCCTTCTTCCTGGTGTGAATCATTCGGGCCCTTCGTGATGTGAGTCGTTCGGGCTCTTCGTCCTGGTATGAGTCGTTCGGGCTCCTCGTGGTGTGAGTTGTTCGGGCCCCTCGTCGTCGTGTGAGTCGTTCGGGCCCCTCCTCCTGGTGTGACTCGTTCGGGTTTCTCGTGGTGTGAGTCGTTCGGAGCCCTCGTCGTGGTGTGAGTCGTTTTGGGAGCCTCTTGGAGGCCTTTTGGGGCGTCTTCGGGGCCTCTTGGCGGCCCCAGGGGCTTCTAGGAGCGTCTTGGGTGCCTTGGGGGAGCCTCTTCGGGCCTCTTGGGAGCCTCTTGGAGCCGTTTGGAGCGTTTTGGGGGCCTCTTGGCGGTTCCAGGGGCTTCCAGGAGCGTCTTGGGTGCCTCGGGGGAGCCTCTTGGGGCCTCTTGGGGGCCTCTTGGGTGCATCTTGGGGGCCTCTTGGAGGCCTCTTGGGGGCTCTTGGAGGCCTCTTGGAGGCCTCTTGGAGGGGTCTGGGAGGAATCTTGGGGCCATCTGTGGGGCGATCGATCACAGATGAGGGGAGCACTTTTCTCCCTCCCCCCGTCGGGGCCAGAATCCTCGTGAGGGGTGTCGAATCTCAGCCCTCCCAGGAGTCGAAAAAGACCCCCCCGGCGACCCGCGGAGGGACCTCTCCAGGCCCAGGGGGAGGGGATAGGGGGAGGGGTAAACCCCTCCCCGAAGGGGAAGAAGGGGGGTTGAGAACAGAGCGGGCTCTCTAAACCACTCACGCCCAAAGGGCTGGTGGGATTATGTTTGCGTTTTTCCATTGCCCATCCCCTCGGTGGGCCCGGTTGCGGCCGGAGTGGCGAAAATGCTACCGGGCGCTGTGGCCTCACACGTAAAGGGGGCGCTCCCCGTGGGTGGCGGCCCGCCCCCACTCGCCGCGATCCGCCCCCTAATCTTGAGCGTTTGTTATTGTTTCTCTTGTGTTTTGCTGTTCGCGGGTCAGGCAGCCTCCGCGGTATTCTTGGAAGTGAACCTGGGCGGGTGCTTCTTCCACTTTCGCGCCGCGGTCCACAAGCACGTGGTCGACTTGGACCTCGGTCAGCGGTACGGCGCCAACCCTGAGTTCCGCTTGCGGGTGGGGAAGTTATGCGCCTTGGCGTTCATCCCCGTCGTCGACGTCGCCACTTGGTTCGAGAAGCTGGCTGACGAGTTCGAAAACTTCGAGCTTCCGCTCCTGACGTACTTCGAAAAGACTTGGGCGGGGGAGAAGCACGCCAGGGCCAGGACGCGCAAGGCGCCTACGTTCCCAGTTGACCTGTGGAACGTCCACGACCGGGCGCTGGCGAAAAAGTTTCTCACCACGAACGCCGCGGAGTTGTTCCACCGGCACCATGCGACGCAGTTCCACAAGGGCGCGCACCCTTCCTTCCCGACGTTCATTGAGAGCCTGCGCAAGCAGCAGAGGCTCACGAATCGGGACATTACCGATGTCATCGTGGGCGGCGAGAAGAAGGAACGCGACACGACCAGGATTCGCAACGACAGGCAACTCAACTTGGTCGAGAAGTTCTTGCGCGACGGCGACGGCATGGCCTCCTCACAAACGTGGCTAAGCTGCGCACGGGGGACGACTGAGGCGGCCCGATCCGGCCCCAGCGGAGGCCGCACTAGGGCTGCATCCCTCGCGCGCCCTCCAAGCTCCGCCGGCTCCACAGTGGACCGGGTGGGAATGTTTTGGCTTTCCTGCGGCCCTCGCCTGCCGACGACGCATTCAGCGCCCGCCGATGTACCTAACCACCCTGCCGCGGTGCGTGGTCGCTCATGGCCGCGCAGGGGGCGGCGCCTCTTCGTCGCGTTCCGTTTCCTTCTCTGGGCGACCGCAGGGACAATGGCGTCTGCGCGTTCCATGGCCCTCCCACGAAAACGATGCCAGTGGCCAGCTGCGCGCCGCCAACCGCCCACTCAGTCGTAACATGCCCCTCGATCTTGAAAGATTTTGTGTTTTCGGGATATGATGTGGCTCGGCCGGCACAGGTGTCGCCGCAGGGGCCTCTGCTCCAGCGGGTGCTACGCCTCCCCACAAGCAAGAGGGGGCATCGGCCAGACGCGAGGCACCCCCCCAAACCACTTAGTCGTTATATGTCCCCTAACCTTGAACCATTTTTGTGTTTGGGGGGATAGATGTGGCTCGGGCAGCACAGGTGTCGCCGCAGGGGCGCCTGCGCCAGCGGGTGCTATGCCCCCCATAAGCGAGAGGGGGCAGTGGCCAGCTGCGCGGCGCCCCCCCAACCACTTCGTCTTTCTATGGCCCTTAACCTTGAACCATTTTTGCGTTTTGGGGGTCCGACGTTGCTCGGCCAGCACAGGTGTCGCAGCAGGGGCGTCTGCGCCAGCTGGCGCTATGCCCCCCATGAGCAAGAGGGAGCAGTGGCCTGCTGCGTGGCGCCCCCCAGCCACTTAGTCGTTAAATGCCCCCTAACCTTGAATCATTTTTGTGTTTTGGGGTCTGATGTGGCTCGACAGGCACAGGCGTCGCCGCAGGGGCGCCTGCGCAAGCGGGCGCTATGCCCCCCCATAAGCGCGAGGGGGCAGTGGCCAGCTGCGTGGCGCCCCCCAACCACTTAGTCGTTATATGTCATGTAACCTTGAACCATGTTTATGCGTTGGGGTATGATGTGGCTCGACCAACACTGGTGTCACCGCGCGGGCGCCTGCGCAAGCGGGTGCTATGCCTCCCATAAGCAGGAGGGGTCAGTGGCCTGCTGCGTGGCGCCCCCCAGCCACTTAGTCATTCTATGCACCCTAACTTTGACATATTTTTGTGTTTGGGGGGGTCCTGATGTGGCTCGACGAGCACTGGTGTCGCCGCAGGGGCGCCTGCACCCGCGGGTGCTATGCCCCCCATTGCGAAGAGGGGCCAGTGGCCAGCTCGGCGGCGCCACCGCCGCACTTCGCCGTGACATGTCCCTTTCTGGTTTACGTGCTGCTCCTGCTCCTCCGGCTCCTCGGGCTCCTGCCCCTCCTGCTGCTGCTCCTGATGCTGCTGTTCCTCCTGCTGATGTTGCCCTCCTCCTCCTCCTCCTCCTCCTCCTCCTCCTCCTCATCCTCCTCCTCCTCCTCCTCCTCCTACGAGTCCCTGCTGCTCCTCCTGCTGTTCCTCCTGCTCGGCAAACGGGGGCCCGGCTACCGGCGACCGGGATCCGGCGAAGGGGAACCGGCGAACGGGAACCGGCGAACAAGACTTCCGGCGAACAGAGTTTCCGGCGAACAGAGTTTCCGGCGAACAGAATCCCGGCGAACGGGGACCCGGCGAACAGGACTTCCGGCGAACAGGAACCGGCGAACAGGAACCGGCGAACAGGACTTCCGGCGAACAGGGTTTGTATCGAGGGAAAATATGGGAAATGGGGGGGAAGACAAAAACCCAGAAAATATATGAAAATATGGGGAATATTCTTATTTGTGTGTATTCACTAGTGTGTCCCAGGGCCCCTTCAATATTCCTCGCTGTCCGGTCTCCTTGTATATCAGTCAAAGTGCAGTAAGTTGGTAGTCGTCTCGGACTCGTGGCCTCCATCGGACTTCTCCAGGCTCTCGCGGCCAAGGCGGCTGAGCCCCCCCCCCTAACCCAGACGGACCAGAGGGCCCCCTCCTGGCAAAGCAGGAGGAGGAGGGTCACGCAAGAAGAGGAACGAAAGGAGTGGGGAAGAAGGGCCTGCGCGGCGATTGTCGCGCACGCATTCTGACGGGTTGCAATAGCGCTCGTCAAGGCTGCTCGTTCTTTATGACATCCTTATCTTTGCCACCACGTGGATGTTTGTGATTTCCAGCGAGTTCCTCTTCATCCTCTCCCTCCTCCAATCGGCTCCTCCTCCTCCGCCTCTTCCTCCTCCTCCTCTTCCTCCTCCTCCTCCTACCTCCACCATCCATCCTCATCCTCCCTCCTCTGCCAGACCCCGTGCACAAGTTTACGTATTGCTGACCTCTGCCAATCATCCAGGTGGGCGCGATGACGTTCGCCGGTCTTAGATGAGGCTGTTGTCGTTGCCGCATACGTTTTCTTGCAGGTGGTCAGGCCCAACCCCGGGCAACAGGGCGGCCAGCTCCAACCAAACCCGCCGCAGGGGACATCCGGCACCTTCAGGGCGCTCCGCGGAGTTTTACTTCTTCTGCACTCGACCACATTAGGCATCACAAGAGGTGGGGTGGAGAGCAGATGCCTCCTCCTCCTCCTCCTCCGGGAAGTTTTTTTGTGGCGAGGGCCAGGGCCATCGCCAAGAAGAAGAAAAAGGCCGTTCGAGCTCTCCCAGTCAAGCCCGAACCTTGAACGGCAACTCTGCCAGCCTGGAGACACTTGATCCTGTGCATTTAGTCTTCCTAGGTGGGGCCCAGGTTTTGGCCCAACCGTCGTTTGGGCCCAGGCTCGCGCCCGCCAGGTTTAGGCCCTAGGTCGTTTTCAGTAAACAACGTTTTACTAACGTGGGTTCTGTCCATCTCCGATTTTTCTGCACTCAACAACCTCAGGCATCACAAGAGGTGGGGTGGAGAGCAGATGCGAAGCCTTCTCGTGGCGAGGGCTAGGGCCATCGCCAAGAACAGAAGCCGTTCGAGCTCTCCCAGTCAGGCCCGAACCCTGACTGGCAACTCTGTCAGCCTAGATGCACGTGGTCCTGTGCATTTCGGCTTCCCGCCTCGTCTTCTCCTCGTGCTCCTGCTTCCTCTTTCGTGCCATCGGCCAGTGCTGCGCCCCCCCCAGCTCCGTCGAGGTTCCACTTGTGTTGGCTCGATGTCCATCGCTGCTCTCAGGGCAGGCTATTTCCGCCGCCGCATGCGTTCTTACGCAGGCGGTCAGGGCCCATTCCTGCGGTGCGCCTGTGTGGGCGAGGTGTCCACCGGCGCCCCTGGAGTGGCTCCCCCGGGCTCTGCAGTGCGCCTGTGTGGGCGAGGTGTCCACCAGCGCACACAGAGTGGCCTCCCCTGGCAATGAATGAGGGAGGAGGAGGGAGGAGGAGGAGGAGAAGGACGAGGAGGAGGAGGAGGCCCACGCAGAACGAGGAGCTAGATGAGTTGGGAAGAAGAGCTGCGCGACTACTGTCTGCGCGCTCCCTGGCGGCCATATACAGCACAGGGCCCCAAAAACTGCCAAGACCTGCCCAAGACGGCTCTACAGCGCTCTACGATGGCCCTCGATGGCCTCAAGACGGCCCAAGAGGCCCCCAAGACACCCTAAATATCCTTCTGAGCGCCTCCGAGAGGGCTTGACGAGGCAATCATCATAGAACTTGCACATTCTTGGCGTTTCGCGTATCCCCACCAGAATCCGTAGCCTTGGCTCAAGCCTGGCTCAAGGCCGCTCCGGCTCGAGGTTGCCGAGCTGGCCCGTCGCCCGCGCGCCTGGGGCCGGAGGTCGGCCCTGACCTCCGGCGTGCCCGGGGGAAAGCCGGGAAGGGGTGCCCATTCCTGCCCCCCCCCCTCCCGTGCCATGGCGGGCGGTTCCCCGCGGCTGGCGGCTGGCGCTGGCGGTCCTCCGGGCGCGCCTGGTGCCGCCGCCGCTGCGCTGTCGCGTGCCGCCCGCCGCCGGGGCCAACGGCGGGCGCTGGCTGCCCGCTGGGCTGCCGCCGCTGCCCCGCTCCCTGGGCCCCCTCCGCCGTCCCCACAGCCGGGGGGGGGGCGTGACGCTGCTGGCGCCGCCGCTGCTGGTGCCGCTGCTTGGGCTGGCGTGCCCCGTGCTGCTGGCGGGAGCTGGGCTGCCGCCGCCGCGGCTGGTGGCCCGGCTGCTGCCGCCTCCTGCGCCGCGGACGCGGCGGCTGCCGCCGAGGCCTCCGCCGCCGCCGGCCTCTGGGAGACGGCGGCTGCGCTGGTGCGTGTGGCTGGCCGTGCCGCGGCCGCGGCCGCCGCTGCCGCCGCCGCCGCCGCGGCCGCCTCGGGCGGGCCGCTGGCGGCGGCCGCCGCGCCGTACACTGGATCCCCGCCGCGCGTCATCGAGAACTCGTTGGACGCTCTAGCCCCAGCGGGCCCCTGGGACCCCGCTGGTTTCACAGCGGATGGCAGCACGGCCACATCCGCCCGCCGCCGACGGCACACCGAGCTGCAGCGCGGCCGCGCGAGCATGCTGGCGACCATGTGCTTCATCGAGCCCGAGATCACTGGGCAGTTTCCTGGCCACCTGTCGCCTGGAGACGACGACGCTGACGACCGACGCGCCCACAACCGATACTTACCTCCTGGCATCGTCGTCCCTTCTGAGGCCTCTGAGGCCCCCGGATCCCGCCTGGAGGCTTTCCCTTGGCCCAGCGTCTCTGGAATCCTTCGGTCGGCGCTATCTGAGGCCCCTGGCGCTGACGCGAGAGATCTCGACACCCACAACGACATCTCGGAACATAGCAGCAGCAGCAGCAGCAGCAGCAGCAGCAGCAGCAGCAGCAGCCACATACCACCCCCCGCATCGTTGGCAGATGACGACGTCCCAGATGGGAATCGAGAGGCGGTAGCTTGCAGTGATCAGTGTGCAGCCCACACTAACATACCCCCCCCCCTTCAGCAGCACCAGCAGGGCAGAGGGAAGGAGAGGAGATGCCTCGAGCAGGGAGGTGGGCAGCACAAAGAGGAGAGCTGCAGACACCAGCAGAGCAGCAGCAGCAGCAGCAGCAGCAGCAGCAACAGGGCCGCAGCTGCCGCTGCAGCCGCAGCAACTGGGCAGCAGCAGCAGCCGCAGCAGCAGGGCAGCAGCAGCAGCTGCAGCAACAGCCGCAGCGGCAGCAACAGCAGCAACAGGACCCAGCAGCAGCTGCAGCAGCAGCAGCAGCAGCAGCAGCAGGGCAGGGCAGCAGCAGCAACAGCACCCCCCCAGGGCAGAGGAAATGAGGCAGAGGTCACGATACCACCCCCCGCATCGTTGTCAGAATATGACGCCCCAGAGGGGCATCGAGAGGCGGTAGCCCGCAGTGATCAGCGTGCAGCTCACACTAACAACTCCCCCTTTCAGCAGTACCAGCAGGGCATCAGCAGTCCTCTGGGAGCGCCACGCACCCAGCAGGGAGACCACAGAACAACCACCCAGGCGCAGGACAGCGAAGCCATCCACCGGCTCGTCGAGAGAAGCCCCTTCGCGTCTATTCGCCCCCCTTTCCCCTGTCAGTGAACTTCTTATGGGCGGCGAATCCCAGGCGCCCTTTCCAGGCGCCCAGGGCGCTACTGGCAATGCAGCTCGCGCCCCGGCTATGGAAGCTGCGCCGCCGTGCGCACGCGCGCCCGACACAACCAGCGGCGCCCCAGAGACCGGAGAGAATCTTGCGCTGACCAAAGGGGACGCACCTGGGAGCGACGGCGGGCGCAGGCCCGAAGGCGAACGCCAGCGAAATGGGCCCTTCCCCATGTGCCACAAGGCTGCGTCTGCCCTGGCCGCCGGATGCGATCCGACCCCCGCCTGGCGGCCAACCACGCGGCCTGCTTTTCCCCGCAGAACCCCGCCACGCGTGCAGCCGGAGCTGTCGCGAGCAGATCGCGAGCCCTCCGGCCAGGACAACGAGGCCGGTACGTTGGAGACTTGCAGCCAGGATACACGGCGGCACCAAGGGCCCGACCCGCGCCAATGGCCAGAGCCCGAGGACCCCGACACGGGACAACAGCTGTACAAAACAGGAATCAATCACATCCAGCGGGGCTTCCCCGGGGAGACACCCGGCGAGGCGATAAGACGACTCCAAGACACGCTGGGGCCAATCTTCACTGGCACCTGGCACGCCCTCGCCAAGCGGCAGTCCGCGGCCGGCAGCAAGGGCGCGCTCGACACGCTTCGGCGCGACCCGCAAACCTGCCACTTCTTCCCGGAATCCTTCCGCAGCCACAAGTGCGACGTACGGGTCGTCAGCGAAGCGCTGGGCGTCGACGTCGACTGGACTCGGCCGGGGCAGCTGCACCTGGGTCGGAGCGGCGGAGTGAGCAGCGATCGCCACGCGGCAGAGGGCCACCCGAACAAGCAGGCCCCCAAGAAGCGAAAAAAAACAGTGGTGGGCCGTCGTCCCACAGTAGCCTTTGCTGCCCCCCTCGTGGCATCGCGCACGCGGGGGTCAGGTGCGTGGAGGGCGGTCGCTGGCAGCAGGCCCGCTGCTGCCTTGCAAAACGCGGCCTGCGGAAGGGATGCGTCCTCCGCCCCCCCCCCATCCGTGCTCGCCCGGTCTTCTCGGCGCCCCCAGCCAGCGTTGCAGCGCTGTGAACAGTGTCGGGGGCCCTTCCTATCTGATGGGGCTCTCGCAGGCTCCCTTTCCTCCAAATCGTGCTCGTCGTCTCGGCGCCCGCGGTCGCAGTTGCAGCGCTGTGAGTTGAGGCGGAGGCGCATGTACCCCCCCAGGAGGCGCTTCCGACGCTGGCACACTCAGCGCGGATGAAAGTGCGAGCTCTGCGGCTGTTGGCTGCACCCCCTGTGCGATTGGAAGTGTGGACTCAGCGACCTGCGGTGTGAACGGACTGCGTGTCCCGCGGATTCTCCTGTGGCTTGCATCCTGGCGCCGGGCCCCCAGGGGCCGCCGCTGGCCCCTGGTCCGCCCTCTGTGGCTCTGGTACTCTTGCATCCCGTTTCTGTCGGTCAGCGGCGACGGTGGCACCACCCTCTCCTGCGTGGCCCGCATGCGCCGGCGCACTGCCGGGATGTCCCTGCAGCCTTCCACCCCCCACCGCGCACTTGCGTTCAGCGGCTTTTGGCTGCGGCCCCCCCTGCGGGAGGCCGAGGGGGGACAACGATGGACCGTTGGACAAGAGGTACAGGCTGAAGTGTGGATTCCTGCAGCAGTGGGATCGGACTGCGTGCCCCGCGGGCTCTCCTGTGGCTTGCATCCTGGCGCCGGGCTCCCTGGGGGGCCGCCGCTGGTCCCGGGTCCGCCCTCGAGATCTGTGGCTCTGGTGCTCCTGCATCCCGTTTCTGTCGGTCAGCGGTGGCGGTGGTGCACCCTCTCCAGCGCGGTCCACATGTGCCGGCGCACTGCCGGGATCCCCGTCCTGACCCCAGTTCCGCTCACGCCCCCCCCCCCCCGCAAGGGGTCTGGCCGCGAGCGCAAAGCTCCAGCCGCAGGTTCCACCCAGCCCCCAGAGGCCGAGAACGAGGCTCCCGTAGGGCACCAAGAGGCGTCTGTGGACGAGGTATCTGGAGAGAGCCAACTCGCGCCCATGGTAGTGGACGGCGCTGGCCACCCACCAAGGGGGCAGGCAACCAGACCCCCCCTTGCAGCGACGGGCGCCTCACCTCGGATACCGCTAAGCGACGATGGAAGAGCGGACTCCGAGCAGACAGCACTGTTCCAGAGGGCTGTCCTACCCTCCTCCTCCTTCCATACATCGGCAACAGCGGCTTTTGGCTGCGCCCCCCTGGTTCCTCCTCCTCCTCTTGACCAGGATCCGTGTTCAGCGGCTTTTGGCTGCGCCGCCTATTCTCCCCCTTCTCTCCCTCTCTTTCGCAACGTCTCTGCGGCTTTTGGCTGCGCCCCCCCCCCCCCCCATCAACGGCGTAGATTGCGTCGGGCGCAGATGAGCGCCCCTGCGACCTGCCCAGGGAGCATCGGCCCCTCGTCGCCGACCCAGCCATGTCTCTACAAAGTACGCCTTGGCACGTCAGCACGCAGCCAGCGAACGGTGCATCCCAGCAGCTCGGCAGATGACAGCCACCCGTATGCCTTGGCGTCGGAGGCATCCGGCTTCTGCATGGGCAGCGTGACAGGTGTTGAGTGGGCGCGGCTGTCCTCCATAAACGTGGCGATTGGCTTCGTCAGCGAGCGGCCCCGCATCGAGTGGCACAGCCTTCTGCGGTCCAAGTTCGTTTCGCTCTTCTCGGCGCAGCCACAGCCCCAGCCCTCGCCGGGACATTGCATCGTTGTGCCCCCGAACTGCGTGAGTCGGATACGATGTAAGTGGACCGGCCACCTGCTGTTGGTTGTCAGCCTCGCGCACGCACACCAGTGGTCTCTTATGGGACGGTGCCCCGACACCACTCATTGACACCGGTGCTCAGCGGCTTTTGGCTGCGCCCCCCTCCTGCCTGTGGCCCGCCCTGGTCCGTCGCCGAACCGGCCATGGTTCTGTCTCGGCCCGCTGTCAGCACGCCGCCTGCGAGCGGCGCGGCCCAGCAGCTCGGTAGCCGCCAGCCATCGCCACGCCACCGGCGTCGGGGCATTCGGCTTCCGCACGGGCAGCGTGGCGGATGTGGATGGGTGCAGCTGTCAGCCATACACTCGGTGACACCCGGTGTTTGGCTTCGTCAAGTGAGCGGCCCTGCATTGAATGGTTCAGCCTTCTGCAGTTCGTGGTCGCTCTCTTCATAGCAGCCCCGGCTACCAGTCCTCGTCAGTACTCTGCATCGTTGCGCCCCCGAACTGCGCGAGTCGGATACGATGTGCACCCACTGGCTCCCGGCTGGAGGTGGCTCAGCCTCGGGAACGCACACCAGTGGTCTTTCTCTACGGGATGGTGCTCTGACGCGGATCAGCCACACCTTAGCAATTGAGCGGCCCTGCATTGAGTGGTTCAGACTTCTGCAGTTCGTGGTCGCTTTCTTCAGAGCAGCCCCGGCTACCAGCCCTCGTCAGTACTTTGCATCGTTGTGCCCCCGAACTGCGTGAGTCGGATACGATGTGCGCGCGCTGGCTACCGGCTGGAGGTGGCTCAGCCTCGTGAGCGCACACCAGTGGTTTTTCTCTACGGGATGGCGCTCTGGCGCGGATCAGCCACACCTTAGCTCCAGTGAGCCTTGATGAGTCAGGCCTCTTTCGCCGCACCATCGTTCGCCCGGGGTGCTGCAGTGAGTCTGTCGCTCGCGCTCGCACTCTCCCCTCTCTCTTTTCCGAGGTCTAGGCCTGTCACTGGGTTCACGCACGTGGGCTTCGCTTGGTCAGTGGCCATTCGGATCCGCGCATGCGGCTTTCCAGTGCCCCGCCGCTTCTCTTGGCCTCGCTTCCGAATGTGGTTCGGCTGGAGCTTGGCGCCGCAAGGGCGACTTCCCCCCCCCGTTCCGCCGCCGGTCGCCGCGCCTTTGCTTCCCCGCCTGCCGGGATGTCTGGGCCGGTCACCTGCCGACGCTGTCCTGCGTCTCAATGAGGGGCATTTTGCCCTTGGCATGTGCATGCGCCACTGCGGCCAATTTACATCGTGCCACGCCCCGGACGTTGTGCCCGCTCCGTGCCCCTCGCCTTGGAGCCGCGAACCAAAAAGTATCCCCGCCAGACAGGAGTGGGAATGGCGGCCGTGTCCCCTGGCCAGGTGCACCTGGGATCCGCACAAGGTGCAGTGATGTCTGTCCCCACCGCCTCTCTCCTCGGGCCCCTCTCGGGCCGGGCTCAGGCCTTCGCCCACTTGCCCTTGGACCGCGGGGTGGTCGTTTCCCCGTGCCCCCATCCTCGCCGGATGTCCCTTGGGAGCCCCTCCGCGTGGGGGGTCGGCGATGTCTGCCCCCGCCGCCCCTTCCCCCGGGGCCCCCCCAGGCTGGATTGCCGGCAGGCTAGTTTCCTGGTTTCGGAGGCTGTCGTCCCCACACCCCAGGGCTGCCCAGGGCCCCCGCTGACAGCGGTAACTATACCTCGCCTTCAGCGGCGGTTTGCTTCGACCCTGGACGCCCGACTGGGATGACGGATTCGACGGAGACCTTGGACCCATGCGGGGAATGACGGATTCGGCAGATAAGGCAGCCCCACGGTGGCCTTTGGCGCACATCAGGCGGCAGCTGCCGCGCAGTTCCGCCCTGGACTTCTGGCGATGTTCTTCCCCACCAGCTTGGCCCCACGCATCGCTTCAGCCGGCGCCCGCGCAGCTGTGCGTGGATGGCCCCCTGCAGCTTCGGTGGCTCCTCATGTTGCGCGGATGACGGCCCCTGGAGGTCAGCCCGCTTCGAGTGCTTCAGCCTTCGCAGCCGCGGCCGCCCCCCGGGCCCGCCCCACCCCCAGCCTGGTATTCGACGTTCCTCGGCGGAGCAGCTCAGCTGGCTCGCGCACGCCGTTGGCGCGGCCTGGACTCGGCGCCCCACTGGCGACGGCCCATCGCTTACCACATCTGGGCCCTCCGACGGCATGTTGGACACGCAGCCCACAGCTCTCGTCCTTACGTTCCTTCGGGTTTTGCCACTCGGCATTCTTGAATGCACCAGCATTCTGCCGCGTTGCAAGTGCTCGAGCACCCTGGACGCCCCCAGCTTGCCGCTCCTCCCGCGCAGTCAGCCGCTGCTGCATGAGTGGGCCGGCCGGCTCGCGGCGCGTTTGGCTGCTAATTAGGCCGCTGTCGTGACCCGTAGCGCTCCTGACTCCGCTGGCGCCTTCGCTAGAGGACGCAACCGAAAAAAAAAACATCCCCACCAGACTGTGGCAGCGTAGCCCGCTCCTGCTGCTTGGGGCCTACGTTAGCCCGCTGCTCGTTAGTTGCGGGTTTCCAGACGGCGTGAGGTTGGACCGCGACGCTCGCGAAAAAAAAGAAAGTCTCCCCACCAGCCTTGGCAGCGAGGTTCGCCTCCTGTTAGTATCTTCCCCTGCTTGTTTTTGTCCTCGGTTGCCCTTCTTCTTCCGCTGCGCTAATTTAGGCTATTGCTTGTCTGCAGTGCCCTGACGCCGCCCGACCTGTTTTTCGCCGCGGGCGCGATCAAAAAACATCCCCACCAGCCCATCCCAAAACGATAACCATGAGAACTGACGGGGGAAGGAAGAGGCACGCATAGTCAAACAGTGAGGGAGGTCGGGGAGGCTCTGTGGCCATCTCGAGCCGTCTTGGAGCGGTCTTGGGACCGTTTGGAGCAACTTGGGAACCATCTTGAGCCAGCTTGGGCTATCTGGGCCATCATGGAGGTTATCTTGGGTTGTCTGAGGCCGCTCGGGGGCCTCGTGGGGGCCCCTCGGGTACCTCTTGAAGGCCTCTTGGGGCGCTCTCTGGGCCCTCTTGGGGGTTTCTTGGGAGCTCTGGAGGGCCTCTTGGGGCCATTTTGAAGGCGTCCCTTATGTCAGTCCCCCCCTCGGTGGCCACGGTCCTCATGAGTGGATCCTCGTGAGTGGTGTCAAAAAGTGACCGCCCCAGGGGCCGCAAAAGGACGTTTTAACTCGTCCCGACCCCCTCCCCACAAAAAACCTCAAGGACGGGAGGGGGAGGGCTCCCCTCCCCGAAGGGAAGAGGGGTTGTGGAAGAGGAAAGAGACCCTCCTCAGACCAGCTGTCGCCCAAAGGGCTGGTGGGATTTCGCATCCTCCATGTTTCGAGTTTCCGACGGCCCCGGACGGCCCCGGGGGCCTCCCCGATCGCCCCAAGACGTCCCAGAAGGGCTTAAGATGACCCAAAGAAGCCCCAAGGCCCCCAAGACGGTTCAATAGGGCCCCAAGACCGCAAGAGACCCCCCATCTCGGGGAGGCAGAGGGCCCAGGCCGCCACGGCGCGCGGCGTTGAGTGGGGTCACCGACCCCGTCAGCTTCCACAGCAGCGTCGGCGGCCCCGCAGCTTGAAGAGGTCCCCAGGTTTCAGAGGAGACTGCGACGTGATGGCTTCTCGTCCGACAGCTCCTGGCCCCACGCTCTGCGATGCGCGGTGCCCATCGATGCCGAGTCTGCAGCGCCTGTTTGTTCCCCAACCGTCCTGTGGTGTTACGGTCCTCGCTTTGAAGAGACAGTCCCCGCGTGCGGTATTCACGATTGCATATGGTTGGGTCTTTCGCCAAACAAATGTGTACTTGGTGCGGACTGGTGGGAGATTCCGCACCGCCTCCTATCCACGTCACCGCGCCTCGGCCAGCCAATGGTGCGGTTGTGAGCAGCGATTTGATGTCGACGATGTGGGCCGTGCTCACCCGAGAGCTCGCGACAGCCGCATAGGCTGGGGCTGAACATCGGCAGAGGCTAGAGTAGCGTGTTTCAAGTGAGTTTGAAGTTAAGAGGTTTGGCAGTCGCGTGATGCGTGGGCATGCCGGACGCTTGCGACACCCCTATCATCTTTGCAAGGCTTACACTCTTCGTAGGCTAAGGCCGATGCACGATGACGTGACGCATGCTTCTCAGGGTAGACATCTGCGGCCATGATGCCACTCGTGCGGAGCATTTCAAGTGGTGGCCTTCAATGTTTCCAGAGTCCTGTTTCTGCTGTTTTTGTTTTCGAACAAGTTTTGTTTGATCCGCACGTCCTTGTCATATGTGCCAGACTGTGCGAGATCGTCAATGAGGGGCGTCGCCGAAAAACAAAACGCAAGAGACCCCCAAGAGATACGCCAAGAGATACGCCAAGAGGGGGTCGAAAAGGGCTTGCGGGAATGATTCTGGCGGGTAGGGATCCCAACATGCCCCCCATGACCATCTCGGAGGCCCCAAGCGGCCTCCAACAGCCCCCCGAGAGGCCCCCCCAAGGAGCGAGGAGGCCCTCGCGTAGCTCGATTTCGGGCTCCGTGTTCGTCCGTTCGGGGCTGGCCTGGCGGCCTTCTAGACTTGTCGTCCCACCTCCTTGCTCCCCCTTCGGGCGGAGTGCCCGGGAAGGGTACTTCGCGGGACAGCGGCGTCGTCGCCGTGGCGGCTCGTGGGCGCAAAACGGACGCGGGGCGTCGATTCCCTTCCCTCTCTTCCATCCTTCTCGCGTGCCCCCTCCCCGCCCCTCCTCCCCCGCTTCCCCATCACTGCTTCCCCCTCTTCCGTCTGCGCTTCTGCGAGAAACAGGTATCAGGGAATGAGAGGGGCAGGAGAGGAGAGCGACACCGATGAAGAGGACGACTATGGGGAAGAGTGAGGAGGCGATAATGATGATGAGCAGAGAGCGAGCATGAGTGAGACGAATGCGACTACGAAATGGAGCGTAGGCGGAGGATCATCATGAGAACTGCCTTGGATTAGAACCTGAGCGCGCGCGAAGCGCGCGCCTGGCTCCAGCTAAAAAACTAGTTGAAAAAGAGTTGTGGGTTCAAATGTTCCATGTCTCAATACAGAGAGGTCCGAATCGACAATTTCAATTTCCAGATTATCAGTCTGGGTGCATTCGTACTTCATGTTGAATTCCTTATTTGTTATGTTCCTCTGCCTTCCCGTCCTTGTTTTCCTGTCTCCCGCGGCCCTGGCGGCCAAGTCGGGCGGGCGAACCTTGATTACCAGGTGGGTTGGGTCGGGCGGGCGGGACGGAGCGGGCGAGGAGGACATGAAAGTGGAGGGCCCCTATCGAGTCTGGTCGGGCGGGGCAGGGCGAAGGGCGGGGCGGGTCGGGCGGGCGGGACATCCAGGTGCGGATCTCTATGCCGAGTGCGGTCGGCGGAGCGGGGCCAGCGGGCTGGCCGGGCGGGCAGAACAACAGAGTGTCGATCTCTGTCGAGGTGATCGTTTTCCATTTTGTTGTTTCGCCGATCGGGCCGGGCCCTCGCACCCCCCCTCCCCGCCCCCCACGGAGTAGGTCTTCGCTGTTTTTGGGGCGCCTGTTTCGAGCAGGTGGAGTCTCCCCCGTAGGACGCACTGTTGCAGACAGTTGCATGAAGCGGAGGTCCAGAGCCAACCGCCCACCTAGGAGGAGGAGGAGGAGGAGGAGGAGGAGGAGGAGGAGCTTCATTGCGTCCCTGGCCCCCCCCGCTGGGCCGCGCACATGCCGACGGTCATGATTTCCCGACCCAGGCGGCGGAGCATTAGAATGCGGGGCCCGGTCGAGGCTGGTCGGGTGTGCTGGCGCAGAGCGGCGGGGCAGATCAGGCGGGCGAGGCAGCAGAGCGTCGGGCGTGCTCGAGTCTGGTGGAGCGAGGCGGGGCGGAGGCTGGAAGCTGGCGGTGCTTCGGGGTGTGGGCCCATCTCGCGTCTGGTCGGGCGGCGCTGGGCGAGCAGCGGGTCAGACAGGGCGGGCGGTGCATCTAAGTGTAGGGCTCTATTGAGTCGGGTCGAGTGGAGCGGGGCGGGGCTGCCGTCGGGGCGGGTCAGTCGGGCGGGACCTTAAAGTGTAGGGTTTTGTCCAGTCCGTCAAGTAGGGCAGCGAACCGAGGACAGAAGGGTGGGTCCAGCGGGGTGGGCGAATATTAAAGTGCACGGCCCTATCGAGTTTGGTCGGGCGTGCCCGGACGAAAGGGCCAAGCAGGTCAGGCGGGCGAATCATTGAAGTGTGGGGTCGTGTCGCGTTTGGTCGGGCCTGGCAGGCCAGGCGTGAGAGACAGTAAAGTGCGGGGTACTGCAATGTTTCTGCGAGGGTTTGGGACCCGCTGCTTTTCCAAAGGTGTTGGATTCCCCAGCTTGGAAAATTGCGATACCATATGATATTCTCATTATGCGAAATCCTGGATTGATAGCTTGCAGTTATCTATGGCGGTGCCTCGCTGACCTGGCACTGGCTCGCTGGCGGTTGTCGCCTCGCGATTTTCGCACAGACCATGTGAGTTGTCATTCCGTCAGTTTGTCCTCTTCCTCCTCCTTCTCCTCCTCCTTCCCTCGCCTCTTCTTGCTCCCGGCTCTCCGCCGATACGCTTCCTGAGTGAAATCGTATCGTCACCCCTGGCTTTCTCCAACCCTGCAACATTGGAGCCTTGGAATTGCTGTCCGCTCTCCTCCCTCCAAAAAAAATAGTCACTGCGTGGAGCTCCGTATATGTGCTTGTGTTTGCATGGATTGGGTGTGAGTGAGTCTGAGCTTGAGTATGATGAGTACGAGTCCGAGCACAAGTGAGTCTGGGACATCCTCGCAATCTGCCCCTCCTGGGGTGCGAAAGCCAGTGAGTTTGAGTATGAGTATAATGAGTACGAGTCTAAGTCTGAATGGGGCTGAGTACGAGTGGGTTTGAATACGAGTGAATATGAGGGCGGGTGGGTCTGAGTGTGAGTGATTCTGAGCGTGCGTAAATGTGAATGTCAGAGCGTCTGAGTATCAGTATAATGGACATGAAACTGGCCCTGAGTGGGTCTGAGTTCGAGTGAGTCTGACTACGAATGAGTCGGAGGGTGGGTGGGTCTAAGTGTGAGTGAGTCGGAGTGTGCGTAAGTCTGGGTGTGAGTGAGTCTGAGTATGAGTATGATGAGTGCGAGTATGAGTATGAGTGAGCAGTGAGCCTGAGCACGAGTGAGTTTGAGCATAAGTGAGTCTAGGACATCCTCGCAATCTGGGCCCTCTGGGAGTGCGGAAAGCAGCGCCTCGCCATAGACATCCTTAGAATCTGCTTTGACAGCAGACGAGTCTGACCACCAGAACACGCAGACCGCTTGAGACATCCTCGAAATCTGGCCCCCCTGGGGTGCGAAAACCAGCGCCTCGCCTGAGACATCCTCAGAATCTGCTCCGAAAGCGGAGGATGTTGACGACCAAATTTGGGCGCGAACGGAGGCCGTGCAATACCCCTGGCGGCCCCCCCTTTAGGAGTGCTAGCACCAGCAAGCCGCTCGAGACATCCTCAGAATCTGCTCCGAAAGCGGGGGATGTTGAGGACCAGAACAGGCAAACCGCCTGAGGCATCCCCACCATTTGGGCGCGAACGGGGGCCGTGCAATACCCCTGGCGGCACCCCCTTAGGAGTGCTAAAACCAGCAAGCCGTTCGAGACCTCCTCATCCTCTGCTCATCATCATCATCATCATCATCATCATCATCATCATCATCATCATCATCATCATCATCATCATCATCATCAGCAGCAGCAGCAGCAGCAGCATCATCATCGTCGTCATCATCATCATCATCATCATCAACATCAACATCAACATCAACATCAACATCAACATCAACATTTTCTTCATCATCATCATCATTTTCATACACATCCATCATTCACCATCACCATCATACTTACATCAAACTCTCAGCATACCATGGTCATCATCATGACAATCATGATCAGTGTCTAGTGCAGAGAGGGAGGAGGGGAGGGGTTCTCTTGGTCCGGCGGGGTCGGAGAATAATTCACTGCGTGGAGGTCCCCATATGTGCGTCTATTTACATGGACTGGGTGTGAGTGAGTCTGAGTATGAGTATTATGAGTACGAGTCTGAGCACAAGTGAGTCTGGGACATCCTCGCAATCTGCCCCCCTGTGGTGCGAAAGCCAGTGAGTCTGAGTATGAGTATAGTGAGTACGAGTCTAAGTCTGACTGGGTCTGAGTACGAGTGAGTTTGACTACGAGTGAATCTGAGGGTGGGTGGGTCTGAGTGTGAGTGATTCTCAGCGTGAGTAAATCTGAATGTGAGTGCGTCTAAGCATGAGTATGATGGGTATGAGACTGGCCCTGAGTGGGTCTGAGTTCGAGTGAGTCTGACTACGAATGAGTCTGAGGGTGGGTGGGTCTAAGTGTGAGTGAGTCGGAGTGTGCGTAAGTCTGGGTGTGAGTGAGTCTGAGTATGAGTATGATGAGTGCGAGTCTGAGTATGAGTGAGCCTGAGCACGAGTGAATTTGAGCATACGTGAGTCTAGGACATCCTCGCAATCTGGGCTGCGGGAATCAGCGCCTCGCCATGGACATCCTCAGAATCTGCTTTGACAGCAGACGAGTCTGACCACCAGAACACGCAGACCGCTTGAGACATCCTCGAAATCTGGCCCCCCTGGGATGCGAAAACCAGCGCCTCACCTGAGACATCCTCAGAATCTGCTCCGAAAGCGGAGGATGTTGAGGACCAAAACATGCAAACCGACTGAGACATCCCCGCCATTTGGGCGCGAACGGAGGCCGTGCAATACCCCTGGCGGCCC